CCTCAAGCTGCTATTAAAAAGTAGGCTACTGATGTTTTTGCATGCATTGGATGATGGTGATGAGGATGCACTTGTTTTGGAGCAGTACCTGGAGATGTAAGGTAGGGCCAGAGCCTCAGATCGTAAGCACAGCCTGAGGCTCTGTCTGTGTCTATGGTCTTAGTGCCGTTGTTCAGAAAAGAGTGAAAAACCCTTTTTATTTTATGAGGCCATGTCAGCAAACACCTTTGGTACAGAGGTAGCTCTACAGGCACAGAGATTCATCCATCAGCATTGATTTTTTTTCTACTGATGCAAAGCACAGCTTTGTTGCTGCTTCTAATTTTCTGAAGTGCGTTGTGAGAGGCCAAAATGAATGGTAAAGGTTGAGAGAGATCCTAACTCCAGGCGAGCTGCTGGTTCTCTGTGGTTGGGGTTGCTGTGCTTAAGCACGGTGGCACAATGCGGTCTGGTCCCAAATATGGCAAGGAGGTGAGTAGATCTCACATCTCTCAGTGATTTCCAGTGTTGATTCCCAATTAAAGACAGATTTCACGTTACAGAATCTGTTTTTTGTCAAAGAGCAATGCCTGGAGTGTTGGTATGGTGAGAGATAAATAAATGAATGTGGTACCACTGGATATGTAGTTCCCCCTGGGTTTATACTCTGTGTCACATAGCCAGATATTCTCATTAGACTAAAGTGGGAGGAGATAAAACTGTATGAACGAGCAAAATTCAGCTTCATGGAATGAAGCGACTGTCACAAAGGAAATCAATGGGATATGTACAATCAGCCTTTTATAATGTGCAATTACTGTAAGACTCCTGATTAGTTTTCTTTCGACAATACGTTTTTTAATACCGATTTGTAAGTGCCTGAGAAGGAAAGTTTACATTTTGTTTCTGTTTTGTAACCTCAGGACAAAATCAAGAAACCATGAGCATATGCCCTTATTTGGAAAAAAGGTCTCCCTCTGCAATTTGTTAACATTTATTTACACTGACTCTACACTCTGTGGTGCTCTAGAACCGCATAATGAAAGGGATCACCGTCATGGGATTTGTCTTCTACGCTTGGCGTGTTCTTGCTCTCCTCTCAATGTTCAATTGTAGCCACTGCTGGAGACAGAGTAGACCCAACAGAGCTTTCATCTCCCCCAGGGATGGCTGCTCCTTACAGCCTTGTTTAGGGGTTTTAGCTTTGCATGTATGGGTACCCTCACGTCCCAGGCAGATACAGCTATATTTACATATCTCAAGATAGAAAGATGGATAGGAAGTCTTCCCTCTTGGCTCCCTTCTGCCATGTCCTTCTTCCCTCATGAGATCTTAGGCTACCAACATGCAAGTTATGCCTTGTGAAAGCTTTTCCTTTGGTGTCATTTGAGTTACTTTTGTCCTTCCCTGTGGGCATATGTGTGCTTGTGCTGTCCGTTCGTTAAGCCTCAGCAACCATGGCATTGGTTTGGTGCCGTGCTGTGGGTGACACGAGGTGTGTTGGGGCTCCAAGCCACACATTATTGTTTGACATGAGGCTAACAAGAGTGCTTTGGAAATGGATCACCCAGTTGAGCTTGGAAAGAGAAAACCACAGCAGTGGAAGTCCTTTAGCTTAGGGAGCAAGGACAGGGTTTTCCATGCAGCAACGGGCAGAACCCTTTAATAGGTGTTGGGTCTTTCAGGAATAGGTGTCCTTGGGCACCTAAATAGGGATTATACTTGCTGTAGTTCCTTCTGCTTTCGGTGGGAAGAGAGTGTCTGGGCTCCTGACTTGACTGCATGTTAAATTCTTCAAGTGAGGTGGGATGGAGCTAGGTCACAACTTCCCTAGCTCCCACTGAAAGTTCCCAATTTTATCAGGATCCAAGGTGAAACCATCAGCTCCCGAGCACACCTATCTTATGCCTTCTGAATTTCAGAGGTCCTGTGTCAGAGCTGACCTTCCTTCCTTCCACTGCTCACTGGGAGGCTTTGCTGGGCACTGCTGCTGCTTCTATGCTGGAGCTCGATCAGATCACAAAGTCATGGGAGCAGGTGTCAAACCCAGCTAAACCATGATGGCTCAGCTTAAATGCAAAGACACAGCCTAGTCCTTGTCCTGTGTGCCTGCCTTCCCACAGTTCCTGCTCCCCTGCCCAACTTTTCCCAGTCGGCGTCTCTGTCTCAAAAGACACTGTTGCTTTAACAGCTGCTTTGTTTCATTTAAACACCTACCTCAGCTCCTGTCCAAAATGCAAACATTTCATTAGCACCTCATCTCCTTGGCTTCAGCCCGCAGCACTCAGCCCTAATGAAGTGCCGCACTCAGAAATATAATGCGGGGAGCACTTGATTAATGCGCTGAGGCAGGTGAGGGGAGTGACCCTCTGGGAAAAGCTATGGGCTCAATTCATCTCAGAGGTAATGCCAATGAAGACAGTCTACCGGCTTTGCTCATATCTGTGCTAAGGACTTGACCCAAAGTCCTTGGAAATCTTTCTGAGGGTTTTGCATCAGGCCCCAGATCCAAAGTGATGTGAAGCGGCTGGTTTCAGGTTGGGCACTTGGAGAGGACGCTCACCAGGATCGCATCCATTGGGTGGGGAGTGGACATTGTGCAAGAGGCGACGCGTTAGGACTAATTGGTGTTCTCTCTCAAACTTTGCATACGGACACGTTAAAAAAAATTAAACCTCATTAGATAAAATAATCTTTCTGGAGAAAAATCCTTGCAGCTGATGTTTCACCATAACACAGATATTTCGGCATCTGTTTCATGTCTTGACAAATAGGTGTTACCTTTCCCTCCAGAACCAGGAGATGGATATGCTGCAAAGACTCCTTCCACCATTCAGATATTGATGAAAGTATCCAGGAGATTGCTTTAGCAGAGATTTAAAGACACCATTAGTAGCTGAGCTAAATGGAAGTAAGGCAAAATTGTAGTCCACATGATAACATTGCAGTTTCTGCTTTCTGGGCACAGAAGATCTTTGCAAGAAAACCTCATGTTGTGTAGAGCCTGCACAGCAAAACAGTCACGCTTTTTGGTCACTGGAAAAGAATAACACCTCCTTTTTGCCTGTGAAGAGATAAGCTACCAAAGTAAACCACAGAATTATTATTAAGAGCTACAGGGATTTTAAAACACTGAAAAAAAAATCGCACTTAAATGCTATGGATTTTTAGTATTTCTTTTTGACTATAAAGCTAACCAGCTTTTTGTGTGCACGCACTAAATGTGTTAAGATGATTTTTAGACTGTTTAGGAGAATCAGTTTAATGATCAGTTTAAGAAATTGATCTGTGGTTAATAAGTTCCACTTAACAGCAAATGAGAAAGAGATTCCAGTCCTGCATCGTAAAGGCCTGACAGCAAAAAGTCTTTTGCAGGACAAGATTTTCAGCCAGTTCAGTTTGCCTCAGTGGTTGAAGCACGGGTTACTTCGTATTTTGGGAAACCAAGCTATGAACCATGGTAGTAGGAAAAACTCCCGAACTCAAGAACATTTAGGAGCAAGATGTACATGGCAGTGCCTTAGTGAAATGTCTTTGCTGGCATGAAAACCACCAGCAGTGGTAGGTCTACCTGTCTTTGCTTCTCCTTGAACCTTGCTGCAGCTGAAAATTTTTGAAGGTCACCTGGCTATAGCAATAACATCAGACTCTGGTTTGATGTGATTATATTGTCACGTTGCACATTCATATCTGACCACTACTGATGTGTGAGTCAGGGTGTGCCAGGAGTTGCTGTTGTAATGCTTCTCCTGAGGGCTCTGCTGGAGAGAGAGCCGTGCCATATCTTCTTTTCACATGTCATGTTGTACTGGTGTGTTCAGAAACACTGTCAGGACTAAATACTGAGGTATTTCCACAAAAGTGAGCCCATAGGACACACTTTATGCTTGAAATCCCATGGGATTCTCTTTACCATGCAGAACAGAGGTGTGGGTTTGATGCCTACACGTTCATCGTACAGAAATGTATTAAAAAGGGCAACTTCATCTCCAAGGGAAGGGTTGGTTTCTGCAGTCAGTGTTAGCTGGCAGGTGGGGTGTTTCCTTGTGTGGCTAGGCAATAGTCAGCAGGAGAAAGCACAAAGTAACCTT